AATAAATAGCAAAACATAAAAATACAACTTTATATCGAAGGCTATATGTCATTTGTAAATAAAAAAGAAATTTAGTCTTACCTGTTACTGGGAACATTTCTTGAGAGGCTAGCAGGTCGCACTCGGACTCGCCCCGTAGCTTTCTTGAACAATGGGGAATATGGTCAAATTTCCTTTCTGATTTCAGTCTCGAAATCAAACCTGCAACAAGTAAGTTGGACGAATGATTATGTGTGAAGAAAAATTTCTGATTTTAAGAGGTCACTCATACCATACCAACCGGCCAGGGCCGGATTAAGGGGGTGGCCACATGGCGGGCCGCGGCCCATGGCGGCAGATCTGAGGGGCGGCAGATCTAAGGGGCGGCAAAAATTTGCAATTTTTTTAAGTATATGTATAAAAAAAATCGAATTTAGACAAAAAAAAATTACAAACGAGAAAAGGCGACACAATCTTTCATTTACTGAGAGTATAGTAATTTCTAATTTTGTCGTCTCTTAGTGGTACAAGAGAGAGTACCTTCAATTAGTCGAGTTAAGAGAGAAACCAAACCCGCAATTTGGCCTGGAACGGCGCGACTTAGAGAGAAATGATAACGAGGACTTGAGATGAAAAGGAGAAGCCCTCGGCGCGGCGATCGGCATGCAACACATATTAGCGCCTACAAGACTACACGAATACTTCTCGCATTGCATCAAACACAGTGCGGTCATTGCGGTCAGCGTGAAACGGATAGCGCCTACAAGAATGCATGAATACTTCACGCATTGCGCCAAACACAGTGCGGTCAGCGTGAAACGCATAGCGCCTACAAGACTGTCTGAATACTTCACGCTTTGCGCCAAACATGGAAGGCATGGAAGGCAAACAAGGCCTTCCATGTTTGGCGCAAAGCGTGAAGTTAACTAAACTTAACTTTCGCGCAAAGTTCCGTGAACTTTTGCTAGTAGTGTTGACAGGGCTTTCCCAAAAAATGTGTTCAACACGAGTAAATGCGTCTTATGCACCCCTCCTACGCTGGCACGTTCACTTGATGGTTTTAATCGAGTTTCAAAACGAATGAGAAGGGGGCGGCAAAATGCAGGCGGCCCATGGGCAGCAATTTAAGTAGGTGAATCCGGCCCTGCAACCGGCGTGTTTATATATACTACCTTATCCTTGCGTCGATAAATACCATGGTGCTTCCTCACGATTAGCATTTGCACCCCGAAGCGTCGGCCATGTTGAATATTGCGTAGCATCCTAGTGCGCAAGGGTGTTAGATAGAATGACTCCTCTTGCGAAATGTTTACCTTATATAGGTATCTATATCGCAGTATTATTTTTGAAGAGGGCGGCTTAAAAAAGCACAGATTATGGACATAAATTGTGAAGTTTGGAGTGAATTTCAGACTTTCCTAATGCGTTCGTCGTGATTTTGAAGCCATTTTGTCTACGGAACAACTCCTCTCTTTTGTTCTAGCTGAAGTTTGTAACAGGCCCATTCTTCTTGCACCTCGATCTTCAGCCACTTGGCGAATCTCGGTTCTTTCCCAGAGTGAATTTTCGATCCTCTTGACTCAATGCAAATAATCTCCCGGTGGCGGCGGCGGGGCTGACGGTGATTTTCCGTCGTCGCTGGAACTTTCGCGTACTCCAGGGTCCGTCCCTCGGCCCGATTCATTCAAGGCCTCGACGGCGGGAGAAGACGCCGTCCAGCGCTGCCGAATTTCCTCAAATATCCCGGAAAATTCATAATTTCACGGCGGAAGAGGAAGATTTACGATGGCGGTTCGACATGTGAGCTCGGTTCGTCGGCGACGGAGAGACCAGGGAGCCACGTTGAGACCGCGACGATCCTAAATTGAATCCGACGGTGTCAAAGCCCGGAAAGTTCATATTCTCGCGAGCCCTGAGCTCCGTAAGGGTGTGTATATTGTGAGGCTCATTTTGTGGTGTGCATGTTTGGTTTGACATGGGTAGGTTCAATTAATGAGTCAAACGCATCGTATTCTGGAGCTGCGAGGATGGTAGTTAACCTTTACCAATTGTCTAGTTGAACCGCTGTCCGCGCCTGCCAAATCGAGTTCCCCGTCTAGCTCGACCTATTCGATCTATCGCTCTGTCGCGTCCTCGGAGGAGTGTAGTGATGGCAATAGTAATAAGAAAAATTATTATTATTAATTCTTTTTTAAAAAAAAATAAAACGACGGAGAGTTTGCACCCAAAAATGTTATTGCTTCATCTGAGAGTGCATAATGAGCTGAGTTGGCAGAATTTTTTTATAATTTTCTTTTGACATGGGAAATTGGAGAAAAATACATTTTAAAGTGAGGAAATGTGCAACTTGTGACGTCATCTGGTAGCATTTTCCATTTAAACACATGTATTTTAGCAGATTAGGTTATTTTGTCATATTTTCGCCAATAATTGTCCAATTTAGAAACCAAGGATATCCGCGAACTCAGTTTCTCTGTAGTACTATTTTAAAGAAAAAATTTACAAAATTTAAGGCACCTGCAAATTCTCCATTGAGGGGTTTGGAGGACAAGACCCATAAATGAAGTTTTTTAAAAAATTGAGATAGTTATGCTTTCAAGTAAAACTTGGTCTCAACGCACAGTCTGTGAAAAATTCGCTCCCAAATTCCACTTTTTCAGCATCAAGAAGTCAGTTTGAACTTTCTCTCGGCCATAAGGATCCATGTAATTTCGTAACTTCAAACACGTAGTTCTCGAAATAGCAAAGATTGCACTTATGCGCCTTATCCTCCAAGCCCCTTAATTATTTTCATTCTTTTTTTTCAAAAAAAATTTAGTTTAAAAGTTTTTTTAAACAAGGATGATGTCATAAAAAAAACCCCGCCAATTTGGAAAGGCAATATCCGAAAAGTCATGTTGACGTCATAAACGGGATTACCCGATTACGCCATTGATAACGTCCTTCTGGCTTTTCCGATTGCGTTTTGAATCATTCAACATCGGCCGATTAGAGCAAAGATAGCGACGAACAAACAAACATCAGCTTTGCTTTTAAGTGATATGGTCAGATTTCAACGCACACTAAAAAAGAAGTTACGGGCTGTGTTGAAGGCCCATTAAAGGAGATGTTTGTCAAAGGTTTCTTCAGTGTGAGTGTTACACACGTTGGCAAAATTTATTGCTCAGTCCGCGGATTGGGAAACGTTTTTTCTCAGTCAAACTGCCCGATTTTCCTGCCCAGTCCGTAAAATACTGCCATGCTGAGGGAAAATGCCGTATGAACCTTCAGGCGTTGCCAAACTTCCTTTAATAAAACACGAATTTCCTGGTGAATAAATGAACATTTTTCTTCCAATTTTTCAGATAATTTGGTTCGCAGTTTCACCTAGAGTTCCTAAAAATGTCAATGAAAAGTATTCATAACTTGACTCAAAAATAAACATTTTATCGAAGGAAATTTGGCAACTCTCGAATGTTCATACGGCGTTCTCCCTTAGCACGGCAGAATGGGCAGTCATAGTCCACAGACTGGCCAGTCAAAAGTCTGAAAATTATTCCAAAGTAGCCCGTAGTTCATGGTAAATGACACGCTAATAAGCAACGAATGCCCCTCACAAAAGCAGCAAGACGCTAGACGTGTTGATTGCGGCGCCATGATACAACTATTCGTGTTCCACGAACGTGCGGGTAGCCCGTTCAAAAATTGAAGGCGCTCCCACTTTTCTCTCTTCTTCAGAAATGCACTGGATCTGTCAGTTGTAGCTTGTAGCACCCGAATACGAGAGCGCCTACATCAGATAAGTGTATTAAATCAATTTTCTCGGATCACTTATTTGATGGTCACAGTGGCTGTAATAAATACTGATTTAAATTTATGATAATTTTTTTTTTAAATTTTAAAATACCTAATACAGGTATGTTCATGCGGTATTCATCAAACTACTGTGGCGACTTTTAAGACTTTTGAGACGTCTAAGCTTTTTTGCAAGACTTGATGAGGCTGTTAAAGACCCATAACATGAATTTGGTGCACAACCTGAGAAAGGTGATTATCAGCGACACTTTTCTTTCAAAGTTAGCTACATTACGTGATGTCGACTTTAATTAAGGTGATTCTGAGATAAACTTACGATTAAAAATCATAATTGATTAATACTATCAATATGTGAATTCTGAATTTTTGGACGTATTGTCTAAAATCATAGCTAAGCAGGCTGCAGTCTGCAGTGCTTCTGGACTTAAGGTGACTTGTCAAGGTTCCTGGCGCACGTAGTTGAACTGGCGTGCGATATATCGCATGAATTGTGTCTAAAATCTCGGCAGATTTTGGATTTTTGGCCCAAAAAGGACGATTACCCCTGCGCATGAGCTTAAGGAATCAATCTAGACCAAAAAATTGGCAAAATTCAGAGAAATGAAAGTAGAGTCCTACTTGGAAAATAATCTCGTATCTATTCGATACAGTTATCGATTTCTGTATCGAATGCGAGGTTTTTTCCAAATCGAATTCTGCTTCCATTTTTCTAATTAATGGGTTTAGATTGATTCCTTAGACTAATGCAAGGAGTTATCGTCCTTTCCTTGGCTAAAAATTCAAAATCTGCCGAAATTTTTGACAAAATCGATTTTATATATGGCATGCCAGTTCGACCATGTCAGAAACCTTGGCGAATCACCTAAAGTTTCAAATATGTGATCGAGGAATTAAAACTGCGAAATATCTCGAAATCTGCATGCATGGCTGGAGCATTAAATCGATTGTTTTTTTTTCTTTTTTTTTTCGATACTCTCACTCAGAAACTTTTTAAACGGATATTTTGAGATCTTTCTGGATCAAATGTACATTACCCTTAAAACCCTACGCAACTCAATATTAAGTAAGTGACTATTGAAAAAAGGTATTTGTTTTCGAAATTAATAATCAACTTATCGATGGGCTGCATGTAGAAGCATTCACGTAGCGAAACTAGACATCCACCTGAATTCTAAGTGCATTCCGTGTAGCATTCTAGGCATTAGGAAAATATAACAACATCCAAGTTTCATTGAATTCAAATTTTATTAAACAAATGAGGTTGCTGTTAAATAAGTACAAAATCAAGGCAATAGTTAATTGTTGGACGGCATGCTAAAATGTATAAAACAAAAAACAAACAGAAAATCATATTAAACATGGAAATCAATTCGAACAGATAAATATAGTGCAAAGTCGCATCAATGCTTAACTTAATCTTATTAAAGTATACGCACGAAATTCAAAATAATATTTCGTTAAAAACAGAGCGTGTGGACGGAATAGCTGATCACCATTTCCATAAAAAAAACTATGAAAAATAGGAATTTTATATTAAAAATTGACAGCACAAGTTGAAATATTTTTTTAGAAAATAAGAGCGTTGGCAGGTTCCATGTAATATTCTAATTCGGCCGCTGTCGAATTCTTACAATTAGAGGGTTGTTAAATTGATTAAAATCGCAAAAGGTAAAACAAAACACATTCGAAAGACTCATAAAAAAACGTAAAAATACAGTGAGAGTAAGAACGTGGCACACGTGTGAAATAAAATCACAGTAGAGTTTCGATTATCCGCGATAACTGGGACCGGAGATACCGAAATCCACGCAAGACGGCCGGAAAAAGTCACCGGAAAGACTGTACTTTAAAGGAATCAGTAAATACACTTACACGCATTAGGAGAGAATATAATTCTTAACTAAGAATCCTTTTTAACACTCAGGTAACACTGGAGGCCTGCACGTGCGCGTACATATGGAAAGATGTTTTTTTCCAAAGAGGAGAAGAGTGACCCCGAATTTCTCCATTCGATCCCGGTCGCTTTCAAAGGAAATAGAAAAAGTAAAAATAAAGTCGGCTCCACAGACCGCGGATAATCGAGACTCCACTGTATTTGTACAGAATCAACTAGAGCAGTATTGAGTTTGGCTGAACTATAATACCTCTATGCTTTAATGTAAATATAGGTAAAATATTCATTCATCAAATAAAAGAAAACTTCACGCTTCACCTCGTTTTCGTATATTATCTTCCTCTTGATTTCTTTCGCCTCTCCTTTTCTTGAATCCGTGATTTACTCTTTTTCTAGCTCCATCTGAAACGGAGGGTGAAGAGGGAACACTGTTTTCATGTCTCTAGACTTGTGCAAAGCCAAGTGCATTCTTGATTATAGCCTTTGTAAGATCAAAAATAACAAAAAACAAACGAAAAAATCACAAGAGTGTTGAAAATCCAAGGCAAAAATCAAAATCATCTTTATTTGATTCAGGATTCACGACCCTTCTGAATTGGACACTAGACTAACAACTATTAATTGCACTGAACTCAAAGAATTCGATGGATATTGTCATCAACGTCAATACTTAGTGCCTTCAATTCAGGGGTTAGTCAACTTTGCTTGCATTAGAGAAGTTAATTGCCTCTCTCATTCTCATTTATTTACGAACTTCACGCACGGAGAACTCGGAGAAGTAACGGGAAGGGGGCCGGTCGGCCGGGGAGGGGATCGGCACTTTATTCAGGATTTTTACCGGTAGTTTTAAAACTCTTGAATAGAAGAAAATACTTACGAATGATAAAAAAGTTCCTTAAAATCAAATAAATTAATATTGGCTCACAATCAGTGTGAGAGTTTCAAGGCATACCTGATAAGCAAAATTTTTCTTACTTCACACACAAAATAAAATGATTTTAGTTTATTGGCTGAACGTAAAAATGCAAATCTAAAACTAAAATTACTAGAGACCGAACGTACTTCAAGAACCATCCATTTATTCCTGATAGAAGGGGGGGGGGGAGGGGGTGCCTGACGAAAAGAAAAGGGGCTAGGCTAAACATGGTATTGGGCTAGAAACTCCTGTTTTTTGAAAGTGGGAAAGAATTAAAAAATGGGGAGAGGACGGGGAGGGAGAAAAATAAATAAACTTTAAATCTTCCATTAGTTCTCACTGTAAGTACGTGGAGGGAGGAGGGGGGTCTATTCCGTCAGAAATAATTTTTAAAGGGAGCCCATAGCTACCTAACAAGGGGTTAAAATTGGAAATAGCGCCTGATGTAACCTATGAATTGCCTTTGAGTGTCCTTTTTGGAGATAAAAATCATAAGAAGAAAATATGGAAGTGACACAATATTGGAGACCCTTTAACTTTCAAAAAGACATTCTGGAGGCAGAGGAATAAATATATGGCTGGCAAGAAGTCTAGGAGTCATGGAGACTACTGATTACAAGAATTACAGAGAATTAATTAGCGACATTAGTTGGATTAGAAAATTACAGACAGGAGGAATTAGAAATTATCGCAGCACTACATTCGAATTATGGATTCTGAGGTGGCAAAGTTTTCTTGAACTTTGCTTCAGAGCACTATGAGCTCTTGCGATAGGTATTGTTAGTACAACATAAGTATAGACTATTAGAGGAATTAAAATATTTACACATACAATCATTCTAAAATCATTTTAGCAAAATAAAAACTAAATCTAAAGTCTTGGAACCAAGGAAATCAATAAGACTCCTCTACAATTAGCTATTAAAAATGAGTTACTGTACGCTTCGAGCACTTAAGATTAATAGAACAGACTAGATAACAATGCAATGAAAATTGACAGACTGGCGACGGCATTGGAAAAAAAGGAGCTTTAGTGAGGGAAAAAAGGAGGAATATCAGTTGACTGACTGCTGGACCTACTTAATTTGTAAAATACCTAATACTTTGAGATCTTTTCTAGATAGTATCATGAGCATAATTATTCTTTCTTTTCTTGAAAAAAGAAACAAGATAGGATCATGAAGAATTTGAGAAGCAGTTCATACACGAGCAGAAACTATCACTATCAAATAGCATTTACCGACAGAAAATGCAACTGAGGTTTAAAAAATGCAGTGACTTGTTTCATAAAACTAACGAAAGCCAGGAAATTAATAATCTCAGTATGGAGCATCAGTAAAGCTTTTAGATTATTCGTCTTCAGAGATTGAGGGGTAAAGTTAATATAAACCATAAAAGGTTCCAAGCAGAGGAGGTAAATGTAAAAAACTGAACCCTTTTCATTCGGACGGATTTCTTGTTTTCTACTTGACTAATTGAAACTGGAAGGTGGGAGAAAACGCAGAGAAAATATTACAGAAATAATAAATACATTCGCAGAATGAAAAAAAAAACACAACAAAACAAACCAAAACATAGAACAGTATCTTACAATATATCTAGTACATACATGGTTCATGTTAACTTGAGAAACACAACAAATAAATTCAATTTTTTCCAAAGACTGTAGTTGTTAATTTCAAGATACTTGCACCCCCTGTGAATTTTTTTTTTTTTTTGGTTTAAATAAAGTAAGTTGAACGTCTGTATGGTTTTTATATATTTATTTTTTCAAGGGAAAAAAACCGAGACATTCTCATTCAACTTCCTTTATTTTTCGATTCTGTCTTCAATTTGTCATACGGACTAAACCGTCCCGGCGACCCTTCTGGTTTTCATCTCTGACCATCTGAGGGAGCTTAGGGAACTGATACCACTGTTGTCAAACAAATTGATTAATCGGCTGACTGGTGTGGGCTGCTTTTTGTCTATTTACAAGACATTTCAATGGGAAAGTATCCTCATAAGGGCCAAAAATCGATATTTAGATCCCAAGGGCTCAATCCATGAAATTCAACCCTAGTAGAAGATGTCCACAGGCTGTTGATCGATTTTGTATGCTCAATTGCTCAAGTATACACAATTTTTAATAGCTTTAGCCACTCATTAAGCACTTCCAACACAGTTGGTCTAGTTTTCAAGTAGTTGACACTTGGATCAGCATAATGAAACATTTATAATGCTAAAAGGAAAATGTTTTCTTAAAAGATTTTGTCTTCAGTTCTTAACCAATGCCAATTTCAAGTACCAATAATTTGTCCATACTCGAGAGTCCAAGTATCTTTAAATGCAAAAAAAAGGTTGAAGAAAAAATCAAGTACGTAGGTATAAGTATTTTCAAGAATGTGCATGAACCATGTGGTACTCTCCCTCGAATTTAGGAATAGAATTAAAAAAAAAGAAAAAAAAAAAGAAAGAAAACGGGGTGAATAGAAATTACATTGCAAAGAACCAATGCACTGATACTTTGAAAAGTAAGAATTCTTGTTTAATCTTTTTTGGTTCTGAGCTTAGGATAAAAATGAAAATGGAAGGCAAAGAGGGCCATTAAATCTATAGACAAATATTTTCATAAAATATTGCACAAAAAAATGTTCAGATAAAAAATCCTGTACAATAAAACTAGTGGTCTCCAGTTCAGAAACTTAGGTAGTTGGTCCAGAAAAAGATTTAAATGGTACCCATGTACAGAGAAATCAAAATGGTGGAAAAAAAGAACAAATTGACTGGCTTGAGTAGATGAGCAGAGTTGCAACCATCAGAATCGCAAGTGTAAACGCAGGACCTATATTCTCGATCTACTCCTGGCTGTTTGACGTAGTTGCAGTAATTACCCATGTCAAGAGCGGAGCAAAATCTTTTAGTTCCTAGGCCACCTGTCAAAAAATTCGTGATGGGATGAATCTGTGAGTCAACTTCAGCGCAAAAAATGAAGAATTAACTGGACCCTGTTTCAGATGAAAAAGGTAAGCTCATCTGAAACAGGTAGGTATAATAAAACTGAGGCTTATCAAAATATTCCCCGTACAGCAGCATTTCATCCTTTTATTAATTTTTTAAAAAATTCTGATATTTTTCCATGAAATTTGTAAAAAAAATTACTCTAGATAGGTCAAGAATAATTATGTGAAATGAAATTTTACACTTTAAAAATGCTTAGTTTTTCTTCGTTATGATGAAACTGATATGTGGAGTTCGTTACCACTGGAAAAAGAATTTACTAATTTTACCAGTAAAATTGGACCAAATCAGAGGAAAGAAGCAGATTTTTGGTAGATGTTTCGCATTAAAAGGAGTATTCTCATTGATTGGTCGTTGAACTATTACTTTTTTTGTAGGGACTACTGTTTTTGATGATGTAGATTATTTGTTTAAGTATTAAAAGGTATTTAAAAATAATTCAATGGTTGACTTTGCCAGATCTTCTATAAAAAAAAATAGATTAAGTATACAAAAACAAGAAAATGAGTCAAAATCAAACCAAAAAAATTGATGGCGGAAAGTATATCATACAAAAAAGCATGAAGAGAGAAGTGTATTCAATATCATGCTAAAAATTGCGGAAAAGTCAATGCAAGACCACCTGGAGTGTAACTAGAAAAGAACAAGAGAGGCATTAAAAGCGAAAGAAATCTTACCAGTTTTGAGGGTGGAAAAAAAAACTGTGCACAGCTCCTTCTGAGTGAGTGAACCACATACATCACAAAATTAAACAGGGTAGAGCTCAGTGCTGGATCAAAAGAAAGTGCTTCCACTACGGAAATGAAAAAATACTGCCAGTTGAAATGTTTTTTTTTTCAGACAGAGTTAAATACCTCCGTAATTTCCTGTGCTTTTGATGCAGAATCTTGCATCATAGATATGATGGCAGGACAACGATCTAACAGTTCCACCGTCGTCCATATGGATCATTGCATCACCACAATCCATATTTTCTGGAGCGGTGCACTGGTAGCATGAAATTTGATGAGCTGGCCACAACCGTAAGCATCAATAAAGAAAAAGAAGTGTCTTCAATAAAGGACCCTTAGGTTTAGTGCTGGTACAAGTAAAAATGCAATAGAAATGATCATAAGAAAACTTAGTTGTACAGCTTAGAGTTGCGCATGGATTCAAAGCAGCCAGAAAAGCCCACAACCAAATCTGTCAAGCTAAGGAGGAACACCATATGGACTTGAGGCGTTGCCAAATTTCCTTGCATAAAGAATTCATTTTTGAGGAAAGTTATGAGTATTTTCTTTTGAAATTTTCGGATACTGCAGAGGAAATTCTGTGAAAAATTGGGAGAACAGTTACAAAAGTTTCATTAGAAATTCCTAACTTATCGAAGAAAATTTTGCAACGCCTGAAGACTCATACAGCGTTGTTCCATGGCACGGCAGAAATCATGAGAGATGTTATCTGATAGTTAGCTCTTTTAAAAAAAAATAATGAAGGTGCGACACCTTGGATTCAGTCACTGCTTGAAAGACGCTCTTTGGCCTGTATGGAACAGATCAAAGTGCGAAATAGGGATGCAATATGTGAGACTCCGCCCTCGAGATTTTTATCGATAAAAATCTCAAGTCTCAATCTGTATAAACAGGTCAAGAGGCAAATCTTGAGCTATAAGAATCTTACAATCTGACTGGCGCAGCTGAGGTACCGCATACGAGGAAGAGAAAACTGTTCTGAAGAATTTAAAGCATCGCAAAAGGTAAGCATATAATCACACGATGACTGAACATATGCAGTAATTTTTCACTTCTCTTGCTTTCAATCGGCAAGAAACATGACACAAGAAAGGTACCAGTCTCTGTTGAAGTATGGTTGCAACTAGCCGGTTTGCACGGTGCCAGATCAAGAGCTGATCAGACTAGGCAGGAAATACCGAAAGGTTTTAAGAGGATGTAAGCTGTAATTTTGGCAGGACAAGCCTTTTTGCTCCCAGTGACCCATTTAAACCATGATGTGCCAATTTTGGCGAATATTCTGCTGGGAAATCCAATACCTTGAGCAACTTTCTTAACACAAAACTTTGCGTTTGGGATACTTGAGCACGATTTGGATTTCAAATCAGGGCTGCTTTTATCCGTAAGGTAGTTACAGTCAGACGCATCAGCCATGCCGCTATCACATTGATAGCACTCAATACATTTGGCTGAAATTAATTACAAGAGTTTTTTCAAGACAGTAAGCACGGTAGGTATGATATTCAAAAAATTATTTGAAAACCGGTTTTTTTTTTCAATCTTTGGTGAAGAACAACAATGACAATGAAAAATTAGGAGGAAAACTTAAGCAATGACTTGTACCAATGATTGCATAAAAAAGACGAGATGACTAAAAATTTAGCAGCTTAATACAGAGAAATTTAACATCAAATTTTTGAAAATTTGCAGAAAATTAATATTGAGAATGGAAAGATATATGTTGCTCATGATTGATATCCCACACATTGAGTCATGTCCATTTCCCTAATTTTCCATACCAATGTTCAGTAAATTTTCATACATTTAGTCGCTTTTCTGACAAGAGGGCATAACTACATTTCAAAATGAGCCCTGTTATCCATATAATAATATGCTTTCCAAGACCGACATGGGAATTGAGATACGTCCTGACATCAGAGAAATGATGATTTGATGTAGTAATCCTCACAGGTGATTTTGCTACTAATAATTTCATTACTTACGTCAATTCATTGAATGAGATATTTATTTTTGCTTTCTACTGACATCAGCTGTGCATAGCAGTGGAATTAGTGGTCTTTTTGGTCCTGACTTAGATCACTTGGATTTACTAGAGTACCTGTATAGGGAGAGTAGCGACAGATCGGTTCATGGAGGGCTTAGGGCCCAAAAGTGCAGCCACCCTTCTGAGCAACTTCTAACACACAAAATTTCACTGCCAGCCTACAGATTTCAATTCTAACCAAGATGGCTAAAAATGTACATAAAAGAGCGTTCTTTCGCAAAAATAAGTAAATTTATGCAAAAAGTAAACCAAATACATGCTTTCTAAACGACGGTTCGTAACAATTGTATTTGTAAATCGCTCTGGACATTCGAAATTCATAGGTTGGCTGCCCTTTTGGGCCCTAACTTTATTCGCGGAGGCATCGGTGAAGGCCTGATGGACTTTCGGAGTTTCAGATCTGTCGCTACTCTCCCTATACAGGTACTCTAGGATTTACCTTCAATGGAATATCAAAACGGAGTGGGAACAGAAGTCAGTGGAAGCACCACAACTCAGACCAGCGCTAAATCTGACCGATCACACTGGCATGCCACTTATCGATAAAATTTTGTGGTTTTTTTGTTGGACGGGGCAAGACTGAATAGTGAATAGAGCTATGTGATTAGTCGACTAAGTTGTTCGAAGGAATCAGATCAAGCAGCGGAGCCCTTTATCGGTGTCAACACTTTCCAATATTTTTCTAACATCCATTTTTCCGTCTTACAAAAGCTCATTTTTCCATCACAAATCCTCTTTACACCCTACCATTCAGTTCATCTCCAGTGCATTTTATTATTAAACTTGCAACTGATAGCTACATAGATTATAGCCAGCCTATCACGCATAGACTTGTTGTCTCGCCACCTGTGACGTCAGCTAGTCTATATAAGCGTGCGCTGCGCCTAAATCGAGGTCTTCTTCCATCTCTCAGACCCTAGGAACACACACCCTCTCTTAGTGATTTTCGGTCCTCTCTCAGTTCTTAGTCTCAAGTGACCATTCTAGTTTCTTTTCATGAAGTGTTCCTAACTCTCAATACTTAAAAGTGCACCGTTGTGTGGAAATTTGTCGACTTTTCTTCTGCTCTCGATTTTCGTATTTTGTGCATCTTTCTTGTGAACTTCGGATTAGTACAGTGCTAAACTTTGTCTCAAAATTTCTTCTCTTTCATTCTTACTCCATTTCTCGTAGTTTGTTCATCCTACATTAACAAAGATTGGCTGGTACCGAAACGCTTAATATTTTTGGACTTTAATTCATATCACATCACAAATGAGAATGAGATAAGTTTTCAATCAACTCTCGTTTCGAAAACTAACTCTGATTCATTACGTGTCGCCAAAACCTGCTCTTATACGCAACTCGGCTCCAAAATTCGACTCTGATTCATTACAATCGGGTGCATAATCGACTAAATAAAGGCCCCTCTATGGTGGCTGACAACCAATGCATTATTCCGCCTGAAAAAGGGCTACGCTACCAAATCCGAGTCCTTCAAAGAAAATAGTTGACTGAACACATAGCTCCATTCCCCCTTATACTTGCCTCTCACTGTGATGTATCGTTCTTTGCAATATATTGGTGAATCTGACATTTAAACAACAGAGAGATATGCGAGGTTTAGGATATTTGCAACAAACGCTTTCAAACAATTCCAGACGATTCTTGATCATAGCTTCAAATGGGAAAGTTTCGAAAGCCTATGATTCACAATTTGCCATTGGTCTTGTCCATCCAGACAAAATCTAAATTTCAATAGTAGACATTCTACTGCTTTTTCAGTTTCTATAAATCTCTCTTCAGTGATCAATGATTACACTAATGGACTACTAAAATACATATTGCGTGGGTACTTTCTTACCGTTCCTAAAGCACATAAATAAGAAGACAGCATGGAGAAGTACTGTTGAATTCATTTTGCAAAAACGTGAGGATGATCAGAGAAGATACAAATCCGGAAGAAACACGATCAACGAAAAAAATTAACACAGTTCCAGACTTTGTTCGCAATTATTCACGTGACGATTGTTTTGGCACTTCTCGTTCCTTGGTTCCTAACCTAACCTGTAAACGTAAACACAAGAAACCCTCCAGCGGTTCACGACGATACTAGCGCTCGATGTTGTAAATACGGCTGAAATTGAAACTTCTTATCATTGTTTATGTTTATGTATTATTTTGATTTGATTTTGCAAGCAACGTGCGGTCATGTGCGGTGCACGTGGGTTCCTGCAGAAACCGTGAACATAATTCTATTTCTATTCTTCTCCTTTTTGTGACTTTCTGGATTTTTTTGGTATTGTTTTTAATCTTCATGCAATAATATTTATTCTTAACTGGACAAGCCAGTACTCATCATCAAAGTGAGTACGCATCGACCATTTGCTTTGTCGAATAGCAGCACGATTTCTTGATTCATGGTCTATCTCCAACCGACGCTTAGTAATTGAATCAAAGAAATAAAGCATTAGAAGTCCTTTTCAGATTTAAGGGAAGGTGATTCTTCATGAAAAATAATCACACTGGTTGTCGGGTCTTTTCAAATTACGAAAGCAGTCGCTTAAATTTAGAATTTGGTGAGGAGAGTTCAAATACTTACCTAATTTGGGTTTTGAATATTCTTTTCCCAAGGATCCTCCATTATTTAATATGCAGGCCAAACTGTCAATCTTTTATTTGGAAGGATCAGTGCAATATTTTGTGTGGTTTTCAGAATTGTAGTCAAGAAACAATTATCAAATGGATTTGTAATTCCCATCGACTTATAACACAATCTGGACCGCGCACTAGGCCCGACTTTAGGCGGGGGAGGTAAGACAGCTATTGGGGTAAATCAGGGTATGGACGCGCCTTCAGCTCAGTTGATACAGCCGGACATAGGAACGAAGTGTATCAGGCAACGGCTAACGGCACTGGCATTTCCATTGTCTCGGTACATATTGCCGGTACACTTGCTGGGTTGCCTATCGTCTTGCCTGAAGGGACTCTGGTCTCGCCGAAATTTCCTAATGCGCGGTCTACATTGTATTATACATCAATGGTAATTTCTTTTTATAAGAAATAACATGAAATGCTACATGTACAGATTTTACTTCGCAACGCTCCTCTGAATGCCGGGATGCCTCACAATCTGTAATGCCTCATAGTGACAGTACAGACATTCAGCAACGTCACCAAGTTATCACCTTCCGGCCAATGTACCACAAATGCAATGCAACGTTTCAAAATTTCTGCCGCCATTTTATTTTTTACAGAAAAATTGTTCAACGAAGCTGTTCAAAAATTTCACTGAATTTTGTTTGTACTCCCGATAAAAGTCAGTGAAATTTTCAGACATTCAACCAACAGTTTCCCTGTAGAAAAATAAAATGGCAATGGATATTTCGAAATGTCGCATGGCGCCTGTGATACTTCGGCCAGAAGTTGACGAAGTGGCCTGCAATTTTCGAACACTTAATTAAAATTCGAATTGAAATATTCCTGCACTGGTCACAAAGAGACATCAATACCTAACTGTCTGAAAGTATGCTTCATTTTATCCATTGCTAAAGTAAGAATCATAACTTATCCATGCGTCTCTGACAATAGATCTAGAAAAAACAAGAAAAACTGCTAATGCCAACATTTCATGCCAAATATCAACATATGTGTACATCGCTTTTTGAAATCAAAAGCTCAGTGATAGAGGCCAATCTCAGTGCTGGTTCATTTAATGTTTTCCTCCGCCTATGTGTTAAACTAGTAGCCTCTACGAAGACACCAGCTCACCCCTCTAAGCGTTACATAATTCACAGACGGCCCCAAATTCTTCTACTTCATATCCAGTGAAAATGAAATTTGTTTCCAAGGTTAATTTGTGAACCTCTGTTTTTAACCCATTCAGCACAGAAATGGCAGATTGGTTCTGGAGGACTCTCACATATTGCCCTCCACATTTCAAGAAAGGGTTTTTTCTCTTCAATGCGCTTGTAATACTCTACAAAATCTGGCGCATAACTTCTCGGAAGGAAATTAAAAGCTGCCCAAAACCTCAGGACGCTGGAACTGACACCTTGAATATTCGCAAGGCTTTATTCTTTCGGAATGAGGGAACAGCTTGTTTCGGTCATGTATATGGTGAGCCATGTGAATTTGGCAGATACTGTCCAGCCTATGGCTTAAGGTTTGTATTGCTTTTTAATTCTCATCTATTTTTCCTCTTTCTTAATTGCGGTGGCAAGATGTCCACCCTCAAGTAACGGTATTCTGTCAAAAAGTCAATCTCTGAAAATTTGGCGGCTATGCCCTTCTTCAAATGAGTAACCCATTCAGTTAAACGGGAGGTATAGATAATTGATAATTTCCAAGATTAAATTGATAGGCTCAGTAGCTGATGATGCAACAAAAGTGTCTCTACCCCTTCTGTTATGGTCCTGTTAGAATTATAGTTAATCACTTAGAATTCTTCCTAGCTATATTTGGATGTCATAAAGTGAAATCAGCCAAACTAAATCAGATGTTGCTTAATTTCCTCATATGTTTGATCTTTTCTGAAGAATTAATCCAAGGTCTATTAAAAAAATGGAGGGAAAGAAAGAAAAAAGGGAAGACTACGGTGGCTGTGTTTTTAGACTTGAAGAGAGCTTTTGAAACCATAAATAGGAGAATTTTGGTAAAAAAATTAATGAAAATTGGAATTAGAGGTAAGGCTATCAAATGGATTGATAATTACCTATGTGATAGAAGGCAACAGGTCAATTGGGGACAAGAGCTGTCAGAGGATTTGTGTGTCGAATTAGGAGTACCTCAAGGGAGTCGGTTAGGACCGTTACTCTTCTTGTTATATATTAACGATATAAAGGATGTAGTTAAGGAATCGGAACTGAGCCTATTTGCAGACGATACTCTAGTATTTAACAGTGAAGGTGATGAGAGGGAAGGAATAAATAAAATAAATAGGGATCTTGGTAGATTAGAAGAGTGGCTGAAAGCAAACTGGTTAGTTCTGAATGCATCCAAAACTAAATACATGGTTTTTGAAGCCCATAAAAAAAAGTGGCAAGGGCAGGTGATAATGGATGGTAGAGTGATAGGAAGGGTTAGAGAATTTAAATATCTTGGAATATTGCTGACTGAAGATTTGAAATTAAAAAAACATATTGATAGGATAACGAGGGAGTTTAGGAGTAAAATAAGTTTGTTATGGAGAATTAAGGACTTTATAGGGAAATACAGTAGAAAGCTAATATATAACTCACTGGTTGGTTCAAAGTTAAATTATTGTATGTCTTTGCTAGGAGAAGCAAATGGAAAGGAGATTAGGGCACTACAAAAAAGGCAAAATTCAACCATGAGATATATATTAGGATGTGATAGAGATTGTAATATCTTAAAAATATGAAAAATTTTCTACCGAAATCACCCTCTTCTGTTTTTTCTAACTTAATTTTTTGGTCGTAAAATTAACGTTTTCTTCCAAAATTAGCTTAAAAAAAAGCTTAATTTTGCTGATTTTAGGAGAAACTTTGCTTCATATCTCCAGTCACGATTATCTGGGAAAAAAACTGTTATGCTCATTGAAAAGAACGTAAAATTTACTTCTGGAAAACATATATCAATATGTTCCTAAACTTGATTTAATCCTGTGAAACAGCAGTTTATTAGCTCTGCCCTTAAATTGTGATTTTGTCGATCATCTCCTTTAAAATCAAGAAAAAACCCGAAAACGTGGCCCAAACTGTGTAACAACGTGGTAAAATAGTGCTGGGCCCACACTATTTAGGAAGGGGGGGGGATAAAGCGAAAAACTTCAAAAATTTTCAATCGGAGCCAAAAATTTTGAGCTTTAATAAGGATCAGTACAAAACTGATGAGAGAGAGTGTTCAGCTCAGGCAGTTTGCATTAGAATATTAAGTTGAGGTCACGTCGAGAGATCTATAAATTTGGGTCTTTTTGTACCTCATCAGTAAATCAAACTCGTCAGTGAGGTCAAAAGCCAAAAATTTAAAAAATTCTCAATCAGAATAAAAAATGTTGAGCTGTAATGAGCACCAGTAAACTTACCGTCCTGCAGTACAAAACTTGTACTTCAAACTTGTGCTTTGATGCCGTCTTGGATTTCGCAAGATTTTCAGTTGGGTTCACTGATGAGTGTGATTTACTGATGAGGTATAAAAAGACCCAAATTTACAGATTTCTCGACGCGACCTCAACTTAATATTCCAATGCAAACTGCCTGAGCTGAACACTCTCTCTCATCAGTTTTGTACTGATCCTTATTAAAGCTCAAAATTTTTGGCTCTGATTGAAAATTTTTGAAGTTTTTCGCTTTATCCCCCCCCCCTTCCTAAATAGTGTGGGCCCAGCACTATTTTACCACGTTGTTACACAGTTTGGGCCACGTTTTTGGGTTTTTTCTTCTTTTTTCTTGTTTTTAAAGGAGATAATCAACAAAATCGCAATTTAAGGGCGGAGCTAATAAACTGCTGTTTCAATGGATTAAATCAAGTTTAGGAACATATTGACATATGTTTTTCCAGAAGTAAATTTTACGTTCTTTTCAATGAGCATAACAGTTTTTTTCTCAGATAATCGTGGCTGGAGAAATGAAGCAAAGTTTCTCCTAAAATCAGCAAAAATAGGCCTTTCTTTAGCTAATTTTGGAAGAAAATGTTAAGTTTATGACTAAAAAATTAAGCTAGAAAAAACAGAATACGGTGATTTCGGTAGGAAATTTTATGTTCTTTCCGCCGGTTTTTTTTTTTTTTTTTTTTTTTTTTTGTGGGATGAATCGTTGAGAAAATATTTGCAAAAATCTAATCGTGGGTTTTCTCAATTTTGAAAAATTCAAAATGGCGGCGTCCTGAGCACCAGCCAATTTTCCTGAAGTTAATATGGGCATTTTTGGACGTCTTTAGCACCTAGGAATCGAAAAAACTTGGTGTGGTTCAAAGGACAGAACCCATGTTGAGCGGTGATGTTTTTTTATACTCTAAAAAATTCACAGCAAATTTCAATCTGTTGGACAAGAAGCTTAGTTTTTTGTAAGATGATGAAACCTGGGGAGAAACTAGGAAACATTAAATGAACTACATCTTGTAAATAGGAACTGCAATTTCTAGCTTGGTTCAGAAATACCGTATTTACCATTATTTTCCCTATGTACATAAGTGTTTTTACGGATGAGCCAGAAATTGTAGTTCGTAATTGCAAAATTATGTCCCAATGCAGTTGTGCTAATTACGGTAATCATTTGGAATACATTTTGCAACCAAGAAATACAATTTCTAGCTCAATCTAGAAACAACGCATGTGCCCCTCGTTTCCATATACAGATAAGTGCGTTTATAAATGAGTCAGATATTGTAGTTCCTAATTGCAAAATGAAGTCCATTTTACTTCCAGAGGACATCAAAGATGAAAATTCTAACCTGTGTCCTCAACTTGAATTGGACTCAGAACTACAATTTCGGGCCCAATCTCTAAATGGACCGCGTTAAACAGAAAGGAACCAAGCCACATCAGCTATTGCCTTTAACAGGAGAATTCAATTTTTTACGAGAGAACGTTTTTTCGGATTCCTTCGAAAATTTCAAGAAATTTACTTTGTATTATGGAGAAAATCCACAGAAATTTGCACAAAAATCCGTACAACTGTTTTCATGTAAAAAATTAAATTGCCCGATTAAATTTCGCAATAGCTGATGTGGCTTGGTTCTTTTCTGTTTAATGCGGTCCAAATGACGTATGTATCATTATTTGTTTCCCTTTGAACATAAGTTTTTTCACAGATGAGCCCGAAATTGTAGTTCCTACTTGCAAAGTGTAGTCCAGTTAGCAATTTTGTCCTTTTTTCAGAGAGATAATCGACTTCATCAAGTCCGCTTCTGTGTCGATAGACATTTGCGTTCTTCATTTAACCATGGATCTTATTGAAAAAGCCATATTGGCTGCTTTTGAAGGCGGGGTGGAAGTTCGAATCATTACAGATCCTGAATTTTTCAATGAGAAATCTCGGATTCCTGACTTGAGAATGATGGGTATGATTCTTTCATTCTTTTTTAAAGTTCCTAACTTTGGTAACTGAAGGCCACTTACTGATAAGAACAAGTGTTCTCATCAAACTATTCTAGCTTGATGTTTTCCTAAACGTAAACATTTTTTCATGGACTCCAAAATTTCAAGTATTGCGGCTGTTAAAAAGAAGGAGCGTTGATTTTAAACCTACGTATTATTTTTAGCGTCCATTTGAATAAATAATCAGAGGAAAAATTGTTTCCGGTCCCGTGGGTTTATGAAATATTTTAAAGATTTACAACTCTGAAATTCCTACGAAGGCAAAGATTATGCCATTTTTCATTTGCAATTGTCAAGCTCAAGAAAAAGAAACCCTCTTTTAAGAAACAGAGGTATCCATTGTAAGAGAAATGCTGACATTGGTAACTTAATGTGAGTCATATCCAGTGCTTTTCTGTCATTTTTATTCATTTCGATCCATAACTTACATTCAATAGTTTCAATTTTCATAATCTCCAATTTGTAACAACCCTAGAAGAACCACAGCATTTGTTGCTGGCTTTCGTTATTATTTAGTATGATGTTCTTATCGACCCCCTGAGGGCAATAAGCCCTTAAAATAGGAATGTCACATGCTAATTTTAAAAACAGGAAGGCTAAAAAGTAAATTTCTCGGTATTTTCAGTAATATCATCATCACTCACATGAAGGAGCACATTTTGAAGATTGTGACATTGTAAGTCTCTGCTCATGGTCTATTTTTTGAAGGAAAACAGACGAATAGTTGCCACTGAAATTTTCTGCGAGTTTTGATCACTCATCCTAATATAATCACATTCTACTGCAGAGAAAGATTTTGATTAGTTGCCTTTGAATAAAGTAAAACATAATCAGAGATTTTTAAACGTCACAATTGAGGCATGCTTTTTTTTGCATTCAGCCATTGATTTAAAAAAAAAAAAACTGAGAATGTGTCAATGTTTTAATTTTTCCTCTTCTATTCACAGGCATTCCGGTCAAAATCAAGACGAATTCTGATTTCTCAATGCATAACAAATTTGCAGTCATGGATAAAAAAGTTTTACTGACTGGATCTTTGAACTGGACAAAGCAAGGGCTTTGCGGGAATTGGGATAATTTCATGATTACATCGGATCCACGCTTGGTCTCTCAGTACCTTGAAGAATTTGAAAGTATATGGAGCGATCTATCTTGAAGAATTTGAGAGTGTATGAAGCGATCTATGAAACTTATTTTCCAATTCTTCAAGAGGTGCCAAAGTTTACCTCCTAGGCTGTGATATTAGCTTTTAAGAATGATATCATATCCTATCGACTTTCCTGTGTCTATTGTTATGTTCTTTTTTCAAGGGTGAGTATATTTCTTTCCCCCCAACGTAAAAAGGACCAAAAGTGTTCAGGAGAAGAATTTATTAACACCAATGGAACAGGTGATGTGTAACCTCCATCTACGTAGTTTTGCAAGTGCTGGGCTATTTTTCAAGTCCATCGGATACAACAGTACCCTTATTACTCAAATTAAACCAATAATTATTGGTTAAGATAATCGTTATGTAAGTCATGGGCAAAAAGCAAATCAGGCATTTGGTTAAATGCCTAGGCAAATAGTCAAATCTTCTTACTTAGGCTGAAATATTGATTACCCTGCTATCTGTAGACAAAATTATTCTCTCATCATGTGGGAAGGAGTTCTCTGTAGAAGTTGGCTGCATGCAATGACAAATCGACGGTGCAAGTCGGCAATCACATAACTCGTTTGCGGTGTCTGAAAATCTCCGCAACTATGTTATTTTTCCAAAGGAGAACAAATGGCCATGATTCCTTGAAGTTTTTGCAGAATTTTCCTCGCACATAGAAGAAAAATCACGGAAGTTTTAAAGAATTACCGTTGAGTAGTTTTCCGTTTAAAAAATAAAGTATGACAGAAAGTCTGCGACGTCGCAAACCGAGTTATGTGATTGCCGACTTTCACCGTCGAAATAAGTCTTAGTCCATAAGTGCACATTTATAAATGGTTTTCACAATTTGGATGGTTGAAGAAATATGAGGAGCATTTTGGAACAGTGAATGCAATAACAGTCTGTACTTTTATTGATTTTTACTTTGAAAATATTGGACTTTTAAGAGGTCTTTGTGAAAACATGAGTAATCTACCTTGTAAACTCTGGAAAGAGGCTGTCCCATTTTCAATAGGAAATGGCCGCAAGAGATTTTCCATCCATACTTTCAGGAATCATAACGGATCATTGGAGAGGCCTAAATCCGGTGACCTTTTCCGTCTAGCCCTCCAAGGAGAGTGGGGGGAGGGGGTCAAAGGTCAAACGCACAGACCGCCATGACTTTTGATCGAAGCAACGGATCAAAATCTTGGGCTCAAATGAAAGCTCTTAACGAGACCTTTCATTTGATGTATATTAAAGTCTGTTTTGGGTAATTTTTTAATGTGAAAAAAATTATTGTTTGATTTTCAAGCTCAAAAAATTCAGTTTTTCGGGTTTTTCTATGAAAGGGAACGCATGAATTGTTACAAAAACCAATTTAAATGAAAGCCCTTGATTCAAGCTTTAAAACGAGCTATCGTCGAACCTGGGAAAATGAATGGTTCAAAAGTTATGACCGTTCAAAGTTGGCGTGGCGCGCTATTTTGGAAGCACGCGGAGTGTATACTCGCGTGCCACCCCTTCCTACCTTTTCCCCTAGTGCCAACTTCAGCTGTTAACGGATACAGAAAGGTCCAAAGCTCCTTCCACCTAAAGAATGACCAATCATTGGTGCAAAATTACTTTCATTTCTAACGAAAAAAGTTGCACTTGAGCACTTGAAACTCGCATTTACTACTGAATATCTCTCCGATCTATTCCCGTCTCATCAAGATTTACCTCTCCAATGATCCGTTATGATTCCTGAAAGTATGGATGGAAAATCTCTTGCGGCCATATCCTATGGAAAATGGGACAGCCTCTTTGACTGTCTGCCTAGGTATTTGATACAATTTCTGAATATTTGCCTGCAATATATACAGTGCACTACTTTCATTTGGACCATATTTAATCTAAATACACCAAGTCACATCAAGTTTGAACTGAGGAAAAGAGGTTTGAAGTTTTATTCCTTTGTAAGACTCATCATTAGGGACAAAGTTCTACGACAACTTTCCATGCTTAAAATATTTTGTCCAAAATTTCAACTTAAGTCTAGATTTCACTTAATGCAACAAATGACAAGTTTCAGTGTTCCACATGACTGTGTAGTTTCAGCTCCCAAGCTATCCCAAGTAGCATTTTTCAACGGAGAAATCGGGATGTATTGCAATTTAATCAGCGATAAAATCGCTAGGATCATCAACATCTGAGCGATTATCCTCAATTTTATCGTGATATTTTCGAAATTAATATTATGATAAATGGCGATTTTATCAAAGAAAATTTATTGCGATTTTATCAAACAAAAAATTGCGATTTTATCGAACAAAAAATTGCGATCTGTAGAGATTTAATCGCCATAAATCGCAATTTTTAATGCACTCATATCTTGATATATTGCCACCGATATAATCGCAATAACCAACCAATAAAATTGCTAAGTATCACGATCTCTGCTACTCGGGATATTGTTTCTCCCTCTTGTAGTCAAGCTTTGTGCGCAGTCAAGATCATAAGTCTATGACTGTAGTGCACTCGATAGTTGGTAGAGGAGCACATTCTCCCTCTACAATTACTGCTGTATGCTCATGTAAGGTTCTAGGGTGTGGCTTTTACTGCAAGTAAGTCGTCAGCACAAGTTGACAACTGATGTTGGCACGATAATTAGTGGAAGGAACTTGATTAGATTTCCTTTGACAGATTGTCATGTTCCCTTTGGGCCTTCTTTGCATCTTCTTGCGTTTTTAACTTGTGAAATAGATAACCCTTCTAGACTTAATGTGTGAAAATCCTGATTACTTGTTCAAATGATCTAAAGTCAAATAAATATTTTTTGCTGGTCAACTTCTGTATGTACGGTACGTTTGTTTTGTTTTGTTTTGTTTTCTTATTCTTATCAACTTTAGAAAAATGCACCAAGTAGGAAGTCTGTTTTGTGTGCCCAGGCAAATTTAATGAAAGAAATTTAAAGGGTAATACGATTCAATTTAGCTTTGAGCAAGTTTGAGATGTAGTCCACAATTAAATACACCAAAGTCTATTCTCAATGAAAATAATCTGTTTATGAAGTAAAAAATTATCGTGAACGGAGGAGTAGGAAAAAAGAATAAACAAAGCAGTTGAAATTGTTATAAATCTATTTTTTTTTCTTTTTCTTTTCGTTTTTTTTTTTTGAACATTGTTACATGGACAGAAAGTAGGTAGGTACTCTAAGAGAACTAAATTTTTCACAATAGGTTTTGTTACAACTCTTTCATTTGACAGTAATATTTCACCTTGCGCTAATTGACTTGCAGGTTTGCAAGTTAGGTCTTGCAATGAAATGAGCCTGTTTCGTGATGTCAAGTAGCCTCCATGAAGGCTTGCGACAGCTCTGCGTTCATGTGTCTCTGTTAATCAGTTTACTTAAGCATTAAGAGAGGTCTCAAATGGGTTCAAAGTGCCGAGAACAAACAGCAATTCAAATTACATTGGATGAAAGATAAGGCTAGGTTGTAAAATTTAGGTACGTAACATTGAACAAAAAATTGATAAGTTTATAAATGAGGCTAAAATTTTGAAAAAGAGCACATAACATCCAAGGATTCTTCACTAGCTTTACGAAGAAATGAATTTAAAAAAAATTAAAACCATGATGTTACTGTTGTCACCATCAGTTCCAAAAATTTGGCTACGTGAAACAGATTTACCAGCTTATATTGATTTCCAGGCTCTTGATTAAACTATGTTGTACATTTCTTTCATCATTAGCATTCTACTAACAAAACAGATCTTAAATTTCTAAGAAAATCATGCTGATCCGATCCATTTTGGTTCAACTTCAGGAACCAATATATTCTGCCATGGTTGGAGGATTAAAGAATACGTTGCGGCCTCCGTTTTTTTAAAAGCTTGAGATAATTTGAGGTCGATTACAAGTACCAAGATCTGCTGTTTAGAGCTAAGAGGACTGCACTTGGACGTATTTATCATCAACCGATGTGTTTTAGATGATCAATTAAGTGTAAAGAGCGGCCGTGGAAGAATGTTACGATACTGGATAATGTTCATGTGATCAATAAACCCATAACAGCATCTCTTACGAGCAACTTAAAACTGATCAAAATAATTTAGTGGCGGCCAAACTCTTATTGTTCAACTCCTGATCTATCATTTACATCACTTTGTTATCATCTTGTGCATGTTCGATAGTAGCATGATCGTTATTGAAATTTTGTCTTTCCTGATCGAACGCCTCTGATAGGACTCAACTGAAATAGAGTTAGTTGACTGATTGGTTACCCCATCCAATTTTTCTGTTTCCTCTTTATCAAGTTGGATAATCGACAAGCTATCAGACCTGCTTTAGTGATTGAGAACCGATCCATTATCCCACCCGATAAAAGAAAAGGAAAGTGAGGCAACCGACTAATCCATCACAAATTTCAGCTTTATCTCATCACATCCTATCCATGGGCAAAATTTCAATAATCGGTCGCAGCTGTGAGAATAAAAGAATACAAGGATGAATTTCCATTGATGCTATCTGAATTTGGAGCTTTTAACTTGCCACACTGGATCAATAACCTCCTAAGCTACTTACACAAATCAAGAAAGTTTAATTTGGCAACAGGCGGTACGACAGATTTCTCACAAAACAGACTAAGAACATTGAATGATGGAAATTTGGAGGAGTTGACAGGGAAAAACTTCATAAATACATACATCCTTGCATGCAGACTAATACATGAGTGCATTCCTTCGTGCATGTATCAATGGACTTCATGTACACACATCGATAATTTATACAGAAACTTTTATCAAACAAATTTTACACAAGACGGCTCAGCTATTCTGAGCCGATGGAATACGAAAAAAATTAAAAAAAAAAAAAAGAAATATATAGACAATGTTCAAAGGTTTATAAATATGTAAATATGAATGTGAGAGTTCATCCATAAACACACATGTACATATATCATTATAATACATGGAGAAATTTCAATAAATATAGATTCATTTATATGTACACATACGACTTCGCTTGTACGCATTCATCAACGCATACTTGCATCTTTTTATTTACAGTGTAAATGACCAATATCGTTTCTTACATCTTGATAACAGACTGGTTTAGTCAATAAATACATTCAAATCTATAAACGAATAGATCAACATGTGTCAATTTTTTAAATTGCTTTACACTATTTTCATCTCCTTATATCATTCAGGATCGTCATTAGACAATAAAATTATTTTCACATAATATTTCTTTTCTGTATCCTAAATTTTTGGTTTTTACGTTTACTTCTGCTATTTTGTTTAAATTTTTTTTCTGGTTTATTTTATTTTATTTATTTATTTATTTATTTTTTTTTTTTTTTTGCATTTTTCTCATTTAGAAGCTTATTAAGATTCTAAGCAAGTATAAATACAAACTACATACTTCAGTATGTATTCTTTCATCCATTTTATTTTATTTTTTTTTTTTTTAATTTTAAAGCTTTTAATTTTTTTTTCTACTTTACACTTTAAGTTTTTTTTGGGTTATTTTTAAATTTTTAATTTTTTTTTTTTGGTTTTCTAGTTTTAACACAGAAAGTTTATTGATATATCGATCGGGTGGTCACCCGATGTCTTTTGTTAGTTTCATTCATTTTTTTCCACAACAATTTCTTCTCCATATGGCTTAGCACTACGGAAAGAATCATCACAAGTAAATCAGCGCATACTCTAGCGTTAATTAGCTATGGTGTCAAGGCCCAGTCCAATACGAGTCACTTACTTTATGCCGAAAGACTTGGAACAAATAATAATAATATTGTGATTAACAGATTAGGTATTTAGTTGAAATAATCACCACCCGGCATTTGTTAAAATTAATTCTAACTCAATTTCTGAGTCATTCCACAAATTATCTCAGGTTCAATTTTTAAACAATTGACATTTTTTTAACAATCTTTTTTTTTTCAGGTTCAATTTTTTCGGGTCGGCCTCTTGTGGTGTAGTGGGTGCACTGGCTCTACAATCAGGAGGTCCCAGGTTCGATTCCTGGCTAGGCGACCCGAGTTTGACGGTCTCAAACAACAGTTGCCTTGGGCTGGTACATGGTAGGGACGGAGGGGGGAGGGGCTGTAACTGGAAGCGCAAGGATTACCACTTGTGTGGTATTTGAAGTGGTAAAAAGAAAAAAAAAAAAAAAACAGAACAACAATTAATAATTGATTCAAACGACAGAATGTTGAAAAAGCTCTTCAGAGATTTCAGTTAAACATTCATCAAACGAGATGAATTCTCCTAATTACAAACTATCATCTCATTGAATGTATTTGCTTTTATTACAGCCTGGCGAAAAGTTGTGATCGTTTTGATTGGACTGGACCACTTGACAAGAAAGGCAAAGAGGTAAATTTGACTAAAACAAGTGCAATGTATTGCGCTTTACTTCCATGGGCTGGTTATTAAGAAGAGAAAATAATACGGTTTAAACTGTCGCAAAGCGAGCAGACTGTAACTAACTTTGTAGAACATTTAGTGAAGTTAAATTTTACAGAGGGAGAAAAGAATACTTCAAGTTTCCTAAAGAAGCTCCAGATGCAGTCCGATCAGCAACTTTTCGAATCGACATACGCTCCGATTAAAATAATTTAATTGACAGGATCTTGACAGGAGTAAGATGAATGGAGTCACTACAAGAGTGTTAAATTATAACAGAGCTATTTTTCTCACGCCTCAGAAGTTCTAATTTCCCTCTGATAAATTTTTACAGGGGCATTCAGAAAAATAAGCCGGTTAACAGTTCTTAGTGTGATGCAAAGGGGACCCTTAGGTCTACAAAAAAATATGTGTGGAAAAATACAGGACATAAAAGAGACTTTGATACAACACAATTACACTGAGAGGAATATAAATTAACATCATAAAAGGGCACAATTTTTGTCAATACAAAGTGACCATTTTGAGTTACTAAGAACTGTTAACTTGCAAATTTTCAATAAATATCTACGACATTCTTATTGATATTATTAATAATCTTTGCACTGAAAATTTGGAACTACCAAATTGAGAAATGAAGTTCATTCTTTCGTGAACAGGACAGATTAGAAAAAAACTATGGTTTTAATGGTTTTGATATTTTGCGTTCGGCGGCCACAATCAGCGTAACATTTGAAGTATTCGTACTAATTGGCTTCAATTGACAGGTATCATTTTGCAGGAAAGTATGGAGAAGGAATTACTGACAATGTAAAAATGGTTAGGAAACGCAAGCAAAAATAATATTCATTGTACAAACGCTCGCTTCTGTCTTCGCTTCTTGCTGATTCGTCCAATAGTTTGACAAACTTACTTCCATCCTTCTTGAATCTTGAAGTGCATTGTTGAGCTCACATACAATACACCTTTCTTTACGATGGTATATCCCTTCCATTTTCTTTTGAATTTCCATCTGTCATGCAGAGACTTGGGGGAAACAGATTTTTGTCTGTCAGAGATCTGTCTTACACGACCGATAAGTTTCCAAAACCAATTGAATTTCGAATAAATTTGTCAAACCACCGCCAAAAACTTCATCTCGAGATGAATGAAGAACAATTATGAAACTATCGTTGAGGATCAGTATTCAACACTCGAAAAGGGAGGAAAAAAAAATTATAATTCTGGCATTATAGATGTTTTTAGAGGCATCTCGTTCCCTCACGCTTCATCGCTAGGCTCGATATCGATGTGACAGTTCATACTGCTTATAAATCTTTGGATATACTGTACAATTTTCATAACTCAGATGACTATCATCAACTTAAATTTAGATAAAAACTTCTTACTACCTAATAGTATCAAATCAATCTTATAATGTGATAACATAAAATAAATAAAATTTGATCATAAAAGTTTATAAGTAATATTTTGCATTATTTAACCAACATCAAAGGTTTAATAAATAATTTATTATACATGTACTCTTGGAAACTAATCAACTGATTTTATTACTTAGGAATGAAGGACTAAAACTGATCACATAAGAAAAAAATTTAGAATTCCTTCCAAAATGATAATGTAGTGTGGTTGAAGGGCTTAACATCGTTCTGGCTGAGGTAAATTTCTCAGCATTGTTTTCCTCTTTCAGTCAACAAAATATTGTACCCCTTGTACAGAGGATCGTGGGGGTCGCTGGTTAATTTTTAAAAATAGACCATTAACCACTATAAAAAATGCTGAGATTTATCAATCAGTTTTTAAAAAATCCTAATATTATCAGTGTTCATCATTAGAGGAATTTCTATTAAAAAAGCGATGAATAACTTTATCAACAACCAATTGATTAGTTTTCTATAAAAATCTTTAATAAAATTTTCAAGTCAAAAAAAAGAGAAAAAAAAGAAGAAGAAATAAATTTTACACGTCACTTTTCCTCCAAGTTCTCTGCTTTAGAGGGAAACTTACAGGAACGGTGATAAACGGTATTCTCAAACATGAAAACCTTTACTTATCTACATACAGTCTCATACCGAAATTAATAAAACTCTGATAATCTTGAATTTAGAACAGGGGCAAAAATTCTAAAATAATACATTACTTCTACAAAATTAGAGTAAGATTTTGTCAGAGGCATGGAACATAAAATTTGTGCTCTTACTATACAACAGATAAAGACGTATTTAAAATTTCAAAAAATAACTATCATGATAGGTAATACAGAGGTAGAATGTCCACACGGTTTCTCAACTTCTCACAATTTTGGTTGGGTCACAATAAAATTTTCCATTAGAACAATTCATAATTTTCCTTACCTTGAAAAAAAAATTATAAAAAAAAAAGAAAACAAACGACAATACATAAAAAAGCAATAACAGATTATTTATGAAAGAAACAAAATAATAAAATAAATAAATAAATAAATTATAAATTTAAATAAATAAACATAACATTCTCTTTCCAATTTTAAGTAGCAGCGAACATTTTTACTTATCACAAAAGCAAGATCGATAAAGAGGGTACGGTGAAGAAAAAAAATAAAGAAATAGATTAAATCGTGGCCCACTTTGTGATTTGGCCACTGGGCTACGGTTAGGTAATTTTTTCAGTTGTTGAATACTGATCATCAAATTGATAATGAGAACGGATCAATGAGTTTCCAATTATAATTCCTCCCCTCAAAGAATCGAGGTCCATTCAGTGGGATTTCGTTTGGGACAGGGTGTGTAGGAAGGGGAGAACTGGTCGAATACAAATATATTTATAAATATATATATATGTACAGAGGTGCAGGCTGGTGACTAGATCAGCATACATGTTGGGTCTCGCTGATAAGTAACTTGGGGCCAGATCCTCCGCTTTCCAGTCACAAGCACCTGTCAATAAAATTATCATCAGCACAACGCCAAAAACTCATGGTCAAATAAATATTCAAGTTAAGCAGGAAAAAAATAAGATAATTAGGATAAAAATATGATCCCTGCAAAGAAGCCCTATGATTCATTGGAACATTTGTGACCCTTCACAGAAAAAGAAAGGCATGGACTGGAATTTTTCAAAAGAGCAATTCTACCATGCTAAGGAAGAATGCCGTAAGAGCCTTTAGACAATACCAAATTTTCTCCAATAAAATAAGAATATCAGGGAAGTATGTGAACACTTTCCTTCAAATTTTTCCGAGAGTTTTATTCGCAGTCAGCTCAAAATTTTCAGAAAATTTCAAGAGAAAATATTCATAACACTCCTCAAATATAAACATTCAATTGGAAGAAATTTCACAACTTTCGGATATTCATACAGCATTTTTCCTTAGCATGGCAAAATTAATGTCAACTTAGATTCAACAAAGAAGTAGTTTACTGTGAAACTCCCAAAACGCATGTCTCGATTTGCGACTTTGCATCTTCATGCGAAGAAAATTCTGATGAAACTTCATGAAATGATGTTGATTCGTTCTCCTTTAAAAAAATAAAATGGGAGTAAAGATTTCAAAACACCGCAAACGAGATGTGGTTTGAGAGTTTTACCGCCAAAGTAGTATAACTCATTTATTCACCTACGAAGAGCATGAAACTGAATTTTGATACACTGATTTTGAGTTCCCAAAATGGTATATTAAAACTATTGATAGATATTTCTAGGAATTATTCACACTTTTCAGCATTTGTTTTGCCAAAAATCTTGCAAATCATTCATCGAGGCAGTAGCACCAATAACTCAATTTTTTCACGCACTACCGTTTCTTTTCCTGGGAATGATCCCATCAATATTTTGAAGGTACGTTCCAAAAACAACCTGTCTTTGCGGTCCCTTCTTGCTCTCATGTAATCAGTTCAGATAAATTATAATAAAATACTTTATCCTACAAATTTGAACGTAACTCCATCTTTTTCACTCGGGTGGAGTCAACAAAGCAGGTCAATCTATTGTTTAAGGATTTACTGACTTCGGTGAAATCAGGTTGATTGAATAAACCAAAGTACCTGCGTTTCAACCCTTAAACGATACCCGCAGTTAGTCGCTGACTTCGCCCCTCACCTGCCACTTCCTATGGCATATCAAGTGATGACTGGTGGTACTTGGGCAGAACATCCAATACTGTAGATCAGTACTGCACTTAAATTATCTGAAGCATGACGGACCGTCAAAATTTGAAATTTTGAAAGCAGAATAAAAAAGATGTTTCTTGGTTCTGCACTGGTGGCATATTTGACTCAATTGACTGGAATTGGGGTGGTATTTTGACTTTTTGGGAAACTCAATTTGACGTGCATCAAATTTCTTCTAAAGAACCTAAAAAGAGCACTCAAGTGCTCCTGATGACACACGTTTTACTTGACACAAAATAGAGCCTTCGCTAGAGGGAAAACAATATGGGTGATTTACCTGTTACGCTGCTTTGCCAATTATCAAAATGGTAGAAATAAAAAACTTCTTCGTTCTCGGAGCAAAGTTTCTCATGAAACAACCTTACGCTCCAGAAAAAACGAAAAAAACATTGACACAGAAATTATTCAGCGTAAATAACAGGTCCATCTTCACCTTAATTTTTCTTCAGAACACTATTCTAAAGAAAACCTTTTTTCAAGATTCTATAGATACGGTACTTAAAATTTGTATCAGCTTGTTGAAAACTTAGAACATAAATTCAGGTGGAATTGTCAGAATAGCTACTATTATCCCATCTAACCTTTAGAGAGGCTAAATCAAAAGTTGATGAGGAATTGGCAAGACTGTAAAAATGAAGTTTCTACTTGTTACGTTGAATAAAACAAGAGGTAAGAGTATGCTTTGTCTCAAAATAGGTAAAAGTCAATAAGAATGCTCATCATTAAACTTTGCCAGTACTTTCAATGTTCAAGTAACGAGGGATTTTTTTCGAAAAAAGACAAGAGAAGGTAAAACAAAACAAAAATAGAAATATGAAACAGTAGACTAAGTTATGTTTCCTGCACCAAAGTCAGTATGGATGAGAAGAAGAAAAGTTGGACCAGATTTCTCAAGAATAGAAACAGGCCATAGAAAAATAACAAAGCCTTTCTGTGATGAGAAAAAGGAAGGAAAAATTTTGGTTGTTGATAAATAGTTGAAAAAGCTATCAATAGTTTCTGAATGTTCCTCTTTTTGTACGTATTATTCTTGATTGGTGATCCGATAATCTTTGAAAATGAGATGGGAAAAATCATTAGTCGTGAGAGGTTTATGCCAGCATTATCATGAGAGGCTAAACAGTTTCTGATCAAAGTCACAAGGATAAGGTGGCTTGAATGGCGAGAGATTTTATGCCCGAGTTAAACTTGGTTGGATCGATTGAAATAAGGAGAATGAAAATAAAGTATTGTGTTGAAAATGCTATTATTGCGACAAAATCTATGCTGCTGTTCAAGCTATTAAAAATTGACAGAAATTAAAAAAAGAAAAAAAAAAAAAATGAAGAAGCAGTGATTGTCAGAAATTCTTATTCTAAAATTAGACTGAGAGGAAAATCTGTTAATTAGCCACTTTTTTTCAATACATTGTCATACTTCAATTTTAATCCTGTCGCCGTTCAAAGATGTAAGAAAAGCGAAAAAAGAAGAAAAAAACCAGGCCAGCATGAGTATTGTCATGCGATTTAAATAAAATACTGAACTCGAGAGATATTATTACTGAAAAAGTTTATTATTTGTAATACATAGTGTTTCAGCAATACAAAAATGTCACAATATAATAGATGTATTTTCTTTTTTTAAAATTAATTAGATAGAAAATTTAAAATTAAAAAAAAAAAGAAAAATAAATAAGAAAGAAGTAGGGAAACTGTATCACATTTATTCCTAAGCCTATAATACATAAAATTGGAAATAAAATCTGCAGAAAGCCTACAAATCATCAAATCAGTCCACCAAGTACTTGAAACAGTTGCGTGGTTAACGGCCATCCACACAAATGAGATGAGTGTGAAGTCAACAGTTTTTCAAGTCGCAAAGTAAAAATGGATTAAATAAAAGTAAAATGGAAACAGAAAAGCGAAATAAGGCGGAAAACAGTACTGTAAAGGAATTTTTGATTTGAGATAAGTTAGTTCCGAAAGAAAACGTGCAATCAGCAGAAGAGAACTAAGGATTTTAAGAAATTCTATCGGACCGAAAAAAAAGAAAAAGATACAAAGTACTCTACAGTTTTTCCCCCGTTTTTTTTGACTAGAATCACTTAATGTACACATCCATTCTTTTATTTCATTCATTTTGTTTTTCTCTTTTGTTTTCTTTGTACAAATTGTAAATATTCAATACCTAGATGACTTCCATCTCGGACAGCGTGAGGCGAGAGGTGGAAATTGCAACGCCGCTGTCACTTGACGTAGATTGAATGCTGCTATGGTCGTCGGTATCACTCTGGTTACTAGTGTACCCGATGACATCAACTTCATCTGTAAACAAACCTGGCGTTAGAATATGATCCACTTCATCTGTAAGCAAATTAACGTATTTTCGTGTGTGTTTATAACGGCCAAGTTTGAAAGACAAAACAAAAAATAACAAAACAGAACAAATTAGGTGAAACAAAACAATGCGGAACCCAACTCTCTTGTAAAAGGAAGTTGAACAGAAAAACATTCTATCACAAAATATTTGTTTGACAAAAAAGGATCGATCATCACACTACAGACTAGACTACACGCACAAAGGGATTACCTAAATGGTCAAAAGTATATATTTTTCAAAGAGGCGATTCTTCATACAAAACAATGATAAAAACAAATGAGGCTGTTTCCTCTTTTATCCTAGCTCTTAGGTTCCATTCCATTCACTCAGCATGTAAACTTAGTTAAAAAAGTTTTATTTCATTTAAATTCTCCAGGGACTGCAAAAATTAGTACTTCAAGGGATCCAGGACAAACCCGTCGTATTTACATTTTTGTAGATTTTCAACTACAGAAGTTCCATTTTTGAGTTTTGCTTTTGTTTTGGGTATGATTCTAAACTGGAGCAAGAGTTAGTTATGACTCGAAGCAATCTTAACAATAAAGGCGCTCATGTGTAGGAGATCTAATAGAGGGGCTAGAAAGACAAGGCGTATAAGTACAGTTTTTGAAAAAATTAAGATATTAATGATTCCAAGTAAAACTAGTCTTAATGCACATACTGTAAAAAATTTGCTCCCAAATTCAAATTTTTGAGCATCAAAGAGTCAGTTTGAACTTTCTTTCCGCCGTAGGAATCTATGTAATTTCAAATCTTCAAACATACTGCTTGGAATAGCAAAAACTGCACTTACGTACCTTGTTCTCCGGGTCCCTCGTTTGTAGCTTTCTCTCAAATTATTGTTTTTTTTTTTCATTCTCAGAACAGCCCCAGCATAGTTTCCTCTGATCCAATTGAGGTTAAAAATCAAAAGGATTTGAAGAGTAGGTATCCTTGCGCTTAAAAGTCTAAGATGTCAGATAAAATGGAATTTTTTGGTAAGATTTTATTCTTCAAAACTGATATCTTGAAACATGATCTCCAATGAAAAGGGATGGAGGTACGTACCTGATTCTGAGATGGATGAAGGAGATGCGGAAGAGGAAGATTGAGAGGAATTTGTACAAGACAGAGTGGACGAAACAGAACATTCTGAGACAGAACGGCGCTTAGTGGTGTTGAGGGAAGCGCCCAGCTGCTCCAGGCGCCGCCGCAGGTATCTTTGCTCACGATTCAGGTGCTCTTTATGGATCGAATGCTTTCGATCTTGACTTTCTAAGTTCTGAAAAAATTAAGAATAAAAGGTTAATTTGTTGACCCAAGGAAATCTCACCAAACAAGACTGTCTATAAAATCTGACCATGATGATTTCTGACGATTCGTCATCTAGTATTAGAAACAAAATGTCTCTTCTTTTTATTAATATCTTTCATTCAATTATGACGCTTATATTTTTCTTCATAATAATAATATTTATTATTCTAAGTAAAAGAGTAACCACGGTTATAAATATAATTATCTTGATCATCTAAAACCTTCATCAAGTTATCCTTGATTTCACATATTAATATTTTCATGAACTGGTTAAATTTAAATAATCACCATATTTTGATTAATAGAAATTAAAACTATGGAAATGATGTGTAAAAAGTGATCTTGTGGAGGGACAGCATCATACATAGTTCTCTAACTGCTGTAACTTTCAATTTTAGTGATCTGATGACTTCCAGGAAAAGCAGGTTAATGCTCCACTCGGTCAAGTCAGAGCTCATGATGAATTTTCAAAATAATACTTTTTGATTAGACCCATTATTCACGATGATACTTACTTTAATAAATCTTTTCGCCTTAGTTAAAAGTCCTAACGTGGTATGCCTCGAGGCTTCATGGCCCAGAGGTACCATTTCCTTAAGTTTTTCTAAACAATTCCGCAGGTGCGCTCGCCTGAAACAAACAAAGAAATCAATCATTGTTGGAGAGCCAGTAAAAACCATATAAAATTAGAACACGAAGATTAATCTAAGACATTATAAAAATTTCGTAAGTTTTTTTGGTGTTTTCGTTAAGACAAGCAGAAATACCGAATCGTTAGACCGAGAGTTGCCACAAAGTTCAGAAGATTTTGTTTCATTTCTTTCAGGGAAAACTGATACAAATTCATTTCTGCAAAGAGAAGTTCTTGGGCGTGGAATGAGTGATAAAAATCCGCATAAAAAGTCAATAATCGAAATCGTCCATTCGGTGGTTCCCCTTTGAAAAAATTGAACATGAGCGGAGACTCACACCGCAGCAATCTGATACATGCGTTTTTCATTGACTGAAGCGATCGTTAATGGCTCGTTTCAGAAACAAAATATTATGTGCCCTTGAATTCAGGAGCAAGGCATAGTTTGGGATACATGGATTAATCTATCATTTAAACCTACGGAAAAGGATCGATGAACAGGGTGTCCGCAACGAACAACTTAAGAATCGATTCTTTACCATAGCTCCAGATGGGGAAATATCGATAAACGATCATTCATGCCTCGCCACTGCTCAGAACCTCCGATTCTCACTGGAGGTAGGTGTTTTCATTACAATAAGCCGAAAAACTGGTTCCATACTGTGAAATTCGGTTCGAACCTACTACGAACGCATTCAGTTTTGATAGGAACGTACAATCCCGAGGGGGAACGCCCGACCGGGCCAGTGGCGTGGCGTGAATTGCGATATATCGATTGGTATGCCATTAAACCTATGGTAAAGAATCGATTATTAAGGTGTTCACACACCCTATTTATCGATCTTTTTCCATAGATTTAAATGGCATAACAATCGATATATCGCAATTCACGCCACGCCACTGCACCGGGCAGTCTGGTCGGAGGTCAAGAAGAACCCCCCCCCCCTTCATCTTCTTCTTCTTCGTCTTCTTCTAGAGAGCGTGACTCAGGAGTGACAGCTAGCGTCTCTCGCACGCTCTTGCAGTCTGACTGTTGCATACCAGTTCGGAGTGCTTGGCTGTGCTACGGAACAATGCCGTATGCGCCTTCAGACGTTGCCAAATTTACTATGATAAAATTCGAATCTTCAAGGAAACTTGTTAAACATTTCCGTTTCCAATTTATCATACAATTTTGTTCGCAATTCGATCAAAAGCATCGGAAAATTCCAAGGAAAAACGTACGTACATAACCCCCCTGGAAATTGAACAATCAATTCAGGGAAATTTGTCGACATTCGAATGATCATACGGCGTTCTTCCTCAACACGGCAATATGGGTCCGCGAGCATTCGAGCAGATTTAGACCCCCCTCCCCCACCCCTGGGTACCGTGCAACGAGCGCAGCACGCGAAACGCTCATTATCACCCTCCTACCCCGGACGCGGAGTTGCCAAACGACACAGAAAGTGATGATTTCTGGAGACATTTTTAAAGGGAGCATTTTGTGAATATGATTTTCTTCTGGAACCGACAAAACGACATGTTTTTTGGACCACAAGAAAAATAATTGTCGGGGGGGGGGGGGGGGGAGAAAAAGCAGAGGACGGATTTACGAGCTTGCGCGAATTTAAAACAATGCACGATATTTTTTGAAATAGATAACAAGGTTGCCACAGAATTTAGAAATTGAAATTCCCTGATTTCCCTGACACATTATGGTGAAATTCCCTAACAATTGAAGATGTGACGGATGGTTCAGAAGGCATAATTGGATGTCTTTCTATCAAACGGAACTATGTGCATTATGACGTGAGCCCTGTTATGCATACATGCTTATGGGTCTCAGGGCTCATGTTTTAATGCAAATAGCTCCGTTCGGCAGAATTACGTCCAATTGAAAATAGTTTTCAGGCAAAGTTGTTCGAAACCTCAAACCCATTCTAGAAAGCAAATGAAGGTGATTTAACAAATTTTCCCTGAAATTTCCGTCATTTTCCATGACATTTCCCGGTTTTCCCTGACTGTGGTAACTCTGAGATAATTACAAGGAAAAATAATGAAGTGTTGGGTCGGCATCTATCGGAGAAAAACTTTGATAGGCTCCAAAAATCATGTTTTTCCATGTGTCTAGTGATAACTAAACACTGTCGAGTAAAAATGTGCTTATTCCTCCCGTGCCACCGCACTTCAATTTACTTTTCGACGGAAAACTCCGTCTATTAATGGTCGAAACAAAAAGAAAGTGAAAAAATAGGAAATATAAAAACCGGGGTTGGTATAATGACGTGATGGAACACAAAAAATATTTGATGACATTTTTAAAGAACGATTTAACTCGATTTCCTTACAATTTTTCTTCGCCTCGCTAAGAGTATACTCTGAAATATTACTTCAGACAAAACCTCATTGCAAAAGGAATAAAGTAGACGTAAACGTTTTGAAAACCAGAAATAGAGACAGGTAAAACCGATTTTCACTGGCGATCGGATCGGTTGCGGCAAGCGAGTCGTCGTAAAACTTTGAGGGTGCGCCTTCAAGAGGCGCCGTTTGACACTGGGCAAGCGACGCGAGCAACTAATACAGCTCCCACGTGGTGATCTGGCCTACACGCCGATTTGAAGGAGTTTTGAGGCGCTCGCGTTTTCCATTCGCGTTCACCGCTCGCTACACGTGTTAGCAGTGGCGTACAGGAAGTGAAGTTGCTCGATGGCTTTGAAAGTCGCATTAATTGATCGCGAATTTTAGGAAAACGCATATTATGTACGAATCTAGTTGCTGGTTTGTAAATTTAAATCGTTTTCGATCGCAAAAATTCTCTTGAAGCATCGTGTCACGGGTCCAAAACATTTTCATATCCTAAAGTTTTACTGGTTTTCGAGAGCAGGTTTCAAACAAAACCTGGAGCTCATTCTACTTATTTTCCAGATTCTCTTGGAAAAACTAGATTTTTCTCCGAAATTACGAAATGAACATCAATTTTTTCATTCCTTGAATACTTATATAGAGGCTAATGGGCGTTGGCCACCTTCAAAAATATTACCCCAGAGTGAAAAGACAGACAATTCCGGTCACCATCATTATCGGGCTAAGGGAGAACGCCGTGTGAACATTCGAAAGTTGCCGAGTGCCCTTCGATAAAATGTCTATTTTTTAGAAAAGTTATGAACATTTTCCCTTGAAGTTTTCAGGAACTTACGGTGAAATGGCGAACAAAATTATCTGAGAAATCGGAAGAATGGATATTCATAAGTTCACCGGGAAATTCGTGTTTTATCAAAGAAAGCTTGGCAACGCCTAAAGGTTCATACGGCGTTTTACCTTGGCACGATGCTTCGCGTTTTTTCAACGTTCAACCCGTATTTTTTCGGACGCGGAGGAAAGGCTCCGGTTTTGCACGACATGTTCATTCCGCGATTGGGCTTTTGACTTTCCCAGCCAGGCGCACCCGCTTCGTCCCTCGGGACCAGAGAGCATTACGAACGGGCGGAACCGAGGGCGGGAGGAAAGGGGGGGGGCGAAGGGTCTTGACTGCATACCGTTGATGGATAAACTTGCGAATGACTAATTAGAGAGGAGTGATAGTGCCACGTTGCCGCGCCGCAGTGGCGTGGCGTGAATTGCGATATATCGATTGTTATGCCATTTAAACCTATGGAAAAGGATCGATAAATGGGGTGTTTGCAGCGAACACCTTAATAATCGATTCTTGTAATTACCGACTTGTCCGTATTCTCCCTGTGTAGGTACTCTATACTGCTGTGCTAAGGAAAAACGACGTGTGAGCCTTTAGGCGTTGCCAAATTTCATTTGATAAAACACGAATTTCCTGGTTAACTTACGAATATTTTCATTCTAATTTTTCGGATAATTCGGTTCGCAATTCCACCTGAAAGTTCTACAAATGTCTAGGGAAAATATGCATTATTCTTCTTAAAAATGAAGTTTTATCGAAAGATATATGGCAACTCTTGAATGTTCATACGGCGTTCTTCCTCAGCGAGGCAGTAAAGGAAGTCTTTTCAGAGGTACCTAGTGCAAGTCTTAAAGCTGTTCCTTAAAGAGACTATCATAAGAGACAGGTGGTAGTATGAAAGTTTTTCCCCACGTTCTAGGACCTATCGGCCGATGGACCTGTTTCGTCTCGACATCGACCAATTCATCGGGACAGCTCTCGGTTAGGACGCGTTGATGCAACTGACATGCGGTTGATGCAGTGTCTTGAACAGAAGCGCAACATTTAAACAATCGATGTTACAAAATAAGCGAGCAGCACCGTTGCATAGAGTTATTTTCGAAAGATGGGCTTCTGCAGGAAAGTTTACAAAACATTTCACTGTATCGATTTCCAAAGAGAAGGGGCACGCATTGAGCGTGAGCACGTATTGATTTGTTTACAGTCTACGGTTTGTGGCAACTAGGAACGGTCCGGGGCACGAATCGGAGAAGAGTAATCTTGGAGACATAAATTGTCTAGAAATCCGACCAACTTCGAACATCAGACGAACATTAAAATCTTCAAACAATGGAGAAATCGCACACACATTTTTTATTGCTTCATCTGAAACTGTCTGAAGGGCTAAACTTGCAGTATTTATCAATTTTTTTTTTTTTTTGGCTATGGGAAATAGTATACATAAATAGATTTACAAGTGAGAAAATGCGCCGCCTAGTGACGCCATTTCCCATTTAAACGCATGTATTTTAGCAGATTACATCGTTTCATCGTCTCTCTTCCAATAATTGTTCAATTTATGAACCAAAGGTTATCCTCGCGTTCAACCCACTTGGTAGCGTCCATTCGAACACGGAATTCGTCAAATTTCAGACACCTGCAGTTTCTCCAAGGAGGAAATTTTGTTGAATTATTGCCGCTGAAATATTAGAAACCCCGTGTGAAAATTAAAATATTGGCTGAGACAATTTTTGTGTTAGAGGGTTGGCCACCCTTTGGGGCCCTGAGAGCTCCATATTTTGATGTGCCGTATTCTCCCTATATAACGTCTCTATCTCTCACTGT